AATAATCATAATAAAAAAGTGGAACAAGCCAATAGACAATTATTTCTATAAAGTTGGATTAATTCTATCACGAAGCCACGACTTTGTTAAGTAGCGTTTGTATTATACAAAGAAATCACGAACCCTTGATTACGCATTAATGGGGAGAGAGAGAGAGAGAGTACGCATTTACTTGTACGTTTTCTAGGTGCACATGCACCGACAGGGTACAAACAAAACAGAAACCGATGGCGCCATCACACGGAGTTATATTTCAACAAACCTGGTCGATTCTTGTAATACCTAAGGGTGATACAAAATCCAAGCCGTTGCCTGATTCGTTCGATATTTGTGTCTCTCATGATCAATATCACCTGATTTCGGCATCCTTTGATAATAACTAATATTCTCCACAAATGGCATGTACTGAGCATATCACTGTATGATAAAGTGTGCCTGTCCTTAAACTAGTCATATTTTATCTGCAACCTTCTATTCATTAGGTGAGATTATTAAATTTATTTACATTTATCTTGCTCGTCAACTTGAAAGAGAGTTAAATCTAGTTTCTGCTTCTGGAGAATCTAAAATTACAAGATCCAATTTGACATTCGACGTTTATTTTGTTTATTGGCCTGTTAATGATTGCTTTCTAATTATCTAATGTTAAAATGACAACGAAAGAAGTTAAAGAAGATGCTTGTCAGAAGCAAGCGACGCTGGAAGAAGAAGAAAAATATCATTGTTTTCAAGCTTACTTTTACAAAATTCTTGACAAGATTTGGTCAATACTGCCCAACTCCTTAGGGGTATTGGTAGCAACAATATTAATATTCTTGGCTGGTACAACCATGCGGGGTGAGTTTTATAATATATACCTTTTAAATACTCTTTACTCCAAAGTGTTAATAGCACTTATTATTAATAGTATTAATTATTTTTTTAAATCAATACTACTTATACTAATGTGATTAATTTGTTTATTTTCTAATGAGTTTATTATTTAAGCGCAAAGCTGCGCAGAGGGCAATCCACAAAGATCGAACTCCTAATGATAGTGTTATAAGCCTTCAAGTTTGCCACTGAATCACCAGGAGCTTTATTTCTTCAGTAAATATATATATATACTTCCTTTACTTTGAAAATAAATTTTCTTATTTCATTTTCTATCAACAAGAAGTTTTACTTGGATAAATAAAATCGTCTTATGACTATATGATGTAAAAAAACCTAAATATGATTGTTAACATCTCCAACTAAAATGAGTTGTACACATTTAACACTTTAAGTAAAAGCCTGTTGCCATTGGGTTCCATTGATAAAACTGATTATTACTGCTTCTTAATCTTTCATTGGTTTTGGCTATTTTTAGTTTGAATTTGAATTAGTATACGGGAACTTCAATTCGAGAGAAAAATACTTAGGTTTATTGAACACTTCCTATAAAGTTTCACTACCCTTTAAGATGAGAACAATGCCTTGTGTTAACAGTAGTGTCTGTGATTTTATAGTTCTGTTAACAGTAGTGCCTGTGATTTTATAGTTCTGTTAACAGTAGTGCCTGTGATTTTATAGTCCTTATTAATTATTTTTCTTCTCCAGTTAAGTTACACAAGAACAATGTCTTAATAATTTTACCAATGTAACATATTGATATTGTATTCTTAAGTATAATAAATTATGTTGTCCACGCAAAGATGTTACTTAAAAAAGTAGAGTTAGGAATAGCTTATAGTGGTTAGAGTGCCAAGCTGCTGATCTGAAGGCCCAAGATTCGATCCCACAATATGTCGCTGAATTCGCTCTGCTCTTTTCGTTGTAGGCGCATTGTAAAATGATATTCAATCCCGATATTCGTTAAGAGCAGATGAGGAGGCAGTAGGTGTTGCTTACAGGTATCCCTCCTACCAGTCAGTAGTCCTAAATTAGAGAATCCTATACCCGAAGCTGGGGTCTCTAACCAAGCCACTTAAGGTGCCATTAATGTCGAAAATGTCAAATAGCTTAAAAACTATATTTTGACATAGGCATATATTTGGATTAACATAAAAGAAATGCGATCTTTATGGTATCCTTTATAGAGAAGTCAAGAGACAATTTAATAAGTATTATGATGGTTCTTAAAACAACAGGATTACTTGTCATCCCTCACTCCCAGTTACCAAGTTTGGTATCCCTATAAATGAAAATATCATAGAGAATAGTTTGTTTTGTTTAAGTGCTAAGCTACTCAGTGGGATATATGCGATTTGTACGACACGGGAATTGAACCTCGAACTTTAGCGTTATAACCTCTCAAACGTATTATGAGACCCTGGATAAAGGCTTGAATAAATTACATTTAACAAGTAACAATATGTTAGAAGTTTAGTATATCTATAACTTAGAGATTATTACCATTGTTACGTTTTTCATTTCTTAAATCTTGGTTCTGTACTGCCAAATTTAAAGCTTGATTATTTTAGTATATCTTTTCTAAATAATGACCCCACGCTGAAAAACGCCCGTCAATTTTACGGGATAAATTGGAAGTATAATTATCAGGATGTTCCCACTCTTTCAGCCTCATTTACGTAAAGTGAATGCAAATATCCCATAATATCTACTGCCATATTTTGCAATATTTTTTAGAAATATTCTTCAATAATCACAGGCCTTTACTGTTACGCTTACACGTAGCTATATAATTAATCTATTTTAAACATAAATAGAATCGTTACAAGGTCAAGCCGATGGTTTCATTTTATAAGACTACATCAAAGATCCCTGTCAAATCAGCTTTCCAGGATGTGGCGATATCACCGCCAGCACGTACCAGTTCTCGAATGCCTGTCAAAAATGAATACTCTGATCATCTGAGATAGAGAATAATATTATATAGTAACACACTATTTATCACTTAAACCAATTGCCTACCACAATGTTACCCTGTTTTTCAAACTTTTTAACATCAAACAATTCAATGTTGAAGGAATAATAAATACACAATCTCTCAGTCTTATTTAAAGCACACCAACATACTGCCCACAGTTTGGCTTACAATAGTTTGAAAGCAAAAACTGGATAACCAAAGAGGTAGGAATGTCAAGATCATTCGTAAAATTTTGATTCCTGTATTGTAGTAAATGTTAATGTTAACTTAAACCTATGAGCAAGATGTACTGAATACTTGGAGCACGGTTGTTTAATATGTTTTCGCAAATCAGTATAAACGAAATTGAACAAATAATTTTCTGTAAATTAAAATTAGAAGAATATTTCAATAATGTGTTCCATAGTAAATGTGTAGTGAATGACATACATTTTACCGTCTGTAAAAAATATAAAAAAGTTAACGCATTAGTTTCATTGCATTACAATGTTCTTTTTTTTTTGTACAAGAACGTGTCAAGTTTTCATACTGAGAAAGTTAAAAAGTACAGATACGAGAAAACTGTGTGTAAAATGATACATACATTACGGAAATATATCTTACGGTATATTAGTTAGACAAGTTAACTACAATAATATTATGTATACTTACCCTATCAGATCCTTATATCATGATAAAGTTTTCAGTTCACTTACGCATGTTACAACTTTATGTCTAGATAAGCTTTTCAGTACATATGCACCTATAACAACTATATTTATAGATAAAACTCCCAGTACTCCTGTACTTAGAAGATTGTTCCGTCTAGATAAAGTCTTCAGTACATCTGCGTGTATGATGTACTTATCGAGATGTAGTATTTACTATATCTGCCCCTATATCTTTATGTATACATGTAGTCTTCATCACATCTAAGTCCAAACAACTGTAATATCCAGATATAACTTCAGTACATGCACCTATATGATTCTCATGATTCAATATAGTCTTTGCTCCACCTGCTCCTAGAAGGTCCTTACGTTTGAATAGTTTCAGTTACACCATTATAAATAAGGTCCTTGTGTCTGAATATCCTTCAGTGCACCTGTACTATAAGATATTAATTATATTAATTTGTCGTTAATTACAATAAACTATTCGATCTGTGCATATGTGGTTTATGTGTACCTCAAGTGGTCCATATAAAACAGCCAGTGCAGTTGTACCTAACGCCCTTGTGTTAGATACGATATCTAGTATCCCACACATAAAGATATATAAATAATCCAATACGTTACATCTACTTTTACTTGCCGATTTATGAATAATTGGGTAATATTTTATTGTTTTTATAATCACTTTCACAATTTTCATTCCCTTGTAGGAGATTGGTTGTTGATTCTTGTATATTTCATCAAACAATTCGGCAATAATTCTTCTAAAAACGAGGAAGATAATTCGTCAATTCTAGAAACGGAAGGGTTTTCAATGGTCAATTATCGGCTACAGAATGTTCACTTCTATGTTCTTCTCTCAGCTATCATTTCTTATGGCTACTATTTTGTTCTCTGTGGATTTCTACAGTGGTAAGTGTTTCAATGTATCCTGGCTAGTATTATATTCATTACTTTGGAGTAAGAGAGACATAATTAATTGTTTCAATCCATTCCCAACAAAAGTGAAAATAAATCTAGAGTAAACAAACAGTTTTGTACTACTTTATTATATATTTTCTCGTGGATAAAAGGGAAAGAAACACCGACTTTAGGAAAATATTTAAAAAATAAAAGATACCGTATGTAGAAATTTAAAATGTTTCACTATTGATATTTTAGCAAACAGACTTTCTTGTAATATAACCTACTGCTATATAATATAATTATATTATTATCGTACAGATGTCTAAGTGCAACGTTTCAATGTCGCCATGAAATTGATTTATCAGTGGCCTTAGATAAAATAGCATAGACCAAAACAAAGCCCTACCCATGGATACAAGTAAATAATGTTAACCAAAAAGGTTTAGCAAAATGTATCTTAATAAAAATAAATATACAATTTACATTTAGTAGAACGTAGCTAACAAGGAATATTGATTAAGCCTTAGTAAACTGAAACATACTATAGAATATGATTCACCTCAGATAATTAGTTAAAATAGTCACACAGAACGTTTCATCAATTGCATGTTATATATTTTTTAATAAAAATGGATGTACAATTGTGTGTTTTGCACTATATTCTGTATTCGAAAGTCAATCAGCTGATTGAGGTATACTGACTCATATAACACTATATATGAATGTTATAGGTACTTTTACATTCGGCAGAGAGACTGCCCTGAGAAATGGAAATGTCAGCCGAAAAAATTCCTAAGTTGGAAAGATGAAAAACATGAGATTATACTTGGAAGCATTTGTATGGGAATTGGTGAGTAACACTTATTTCTTCATATTCAAAGTTGTAAGCACTTAAGCATTATCATCTATATATACTTCTACTAAATGAATTTCTAACATAAGCTAAAAAGTTAGTGGTATTTAAAATCGCAAAATTGGGTTTCAGAAACCATAATTTGATATGTTCAAAACAATACATATGTAGTTTAACATTTTATAGTAGTCTTGAAAAACGTAATTGATTACTGTATTGTACAAAAACAACAGATATAAGTATTGTTTAGATCAACTACGTCCAGAAGTATTCGTTCTATGTGTTATCCATAATTTTGGTACTTATTTTGTTTATTGTGTAGCACAAAGTTACACAATGAGCCGTTCGTGCTGTGCTCACCACGGATATCAGAACCCGATTTTTATCATCATAAGTTTCTATAGATTTCTGCATGGACATTTGTCTAGAAAATTTGAGCTAATAGTTTAAAAGCTGTTTCTAGCTAAAATTATGTTTTGTTCAACTCATAGTACATGAAAAGTTTAGTAGTGTAAAACTATTCGGTCGTCAAAAAATTAATATCGCTTTTTTTTAGATGAAAAAACCTGAACGACTTATATATCAAATCAAAACATTTATTAAATGAAATATTCTCCATTCTTATCGATGATGCTTTTCCATCTTACAATCACGTTGTTAATTGTTTGTTTGTTTGTTTTGAATTTCGCGCAAAGCTACACGAGGGCTATCTGCGCTAGCCGTCCCTAATTTAGCAATGTAAGACTAGAGGGAAGGCAGCTAGTCATCACCACCCACCGCCAAGTCTTGGGCTACTCTTTTACCAACGAATAGTGGGATTGACCTTCACATTATATCGCCCCCCACGGCTGAAAGGGCGAGCCTGTTTGGTGGGACGGGGATGCGAACCCGCGACCCGCAGATTGCGAGTCGAGGGTCCTAACCACCTGGCCATGCCGGGCCGACACGTTGTTAATGCCCTGATTAAAGAAATCGCTTTACACACTTGCATACGTTTTTCAATTAAGATGGTGTTGCAGCGGACGAAAAAGATGGTAATCTGATGGTGCCATATCTGGAGAATATGGTGGGTGGAGGAGAACCTTGTGTTGTGTCAAACGAGCCACATGTGCACGTGCATTGTCGCGGAAAAGAAGAACACCTTTCCGATTGACGAGTGAAGGGCGTTTCTGATGAAGGGCTTGATATAAACGTTCCAGTTGCTTACTATAGATCTCTGCATTGACAGTTCCCTGTGGATTGAGGAGCTCGAAATGAATTACTCCTTTGATGTCCCACCAAATGCAAAGCATCACTTTCTGCGGATGGAGTCTAGGTTTTTGTCTAGGAATGAGCCATTGATTTTGGCGTTTAATATTCGTATAGAGAATCCATTTTTCATCACCGGTGATAATTCTGCCCAAAAATGGTTCACGCGCATTATGCACCAGAAGAGAAGAAGCAACGTTCACACATTGGAAACGATGATCATCGGCGAGTTCGTGAGGCCCACAAACACCTTCTTTAAGGAGTTTCCCATATTACTTAGATGTTTACGTATTTTTTCTTGAGAGACATACAACTTCAGGGCAATTTTACGAGTTTGTTGCCTTGGTTTAGACTCAACAAGCGTCTTGAGAGCATCAATATCAATTCCAACATGTCGGATGGCCCGGCCTGGCCAGGTGGTTAAGGAGTTCTACTCGCAATCTGCGGGTTGCGGGTTCGAAGGCCCACCAAACATGCTCGCCCTTCCAGCCGTGGAGGCCTTATAATGTGACGGTCAATCCCACTATTCGTTGGTAAAAGAGTAGCCCAAGAGTTGGCGGTGGGTGGTGATGACTAGTTGCCTTCCCTCTAGTCTTACACTGCTAAATTAGGCTAGCGCAGATAGCCCTCGTTTAGCTTTGCGCGAAATTCAAAACAAACAAACCAACATGTCGGCCCCTGCCATCACAGTTTTAAGGCTAAAGTCACCTGAACGAAATTTGCTGAAACATCGTTGACACTTTCGAATGTTCAAAACATTTCCATAAACTTCTTTGTTATTCTTTGTGGCTACAGAGGCGTTGTTTCCCTTCTTGTCTTCAAACTGAATTACATGCCGAATGTGTGTGCCATCACTATAAAGGATTAGAGTATACTAAACTTTACACATTATACAGGCTACATTAACGTAACATTTAGGCAGTTTGTTTAACTATTATACGTGATGTAGGTTTTTCTTGGGGGGGGGGGGGTAATGAAAGTGTTCAAAACGCGACATTCATTTCTTGACGACCTAATATTATACAGAGGTCCTAAAATGTCTGCACGTAGTTTGTATTGTAGATAGTTCATCAACCGTTATTCCCACGAGTTGATATTACTGTTGAGTGTGAGTTAAATGGGATTTATCCCCATCCTGAAGCCACTGTGATAGGTACAATTAATATATATCTGGTCACAATCATTCTATAGGACCCCTAAAACAAGTCCAAGTAAGGCTCCGTAGAATTTTCCTACTGCATTTTTCTTGATCAGTATTTTCAGCCGCTGTTGAGAATGGCTCACGTCTTCCAGAGGTCATGAAAGAATTGTCATTCAGTCCTCTGATACAGATGTGGGTGTTTTGTGTGCCTCATATTTGTCTGACTTGAGCTGTGAAGAGTTGTGGCTCAAAACCGATGTAAGAGACAAAGCTCGATAAACGGTTATACATAAAGTGAGTGAAGCTATTATCCAGTATGCTTGCAAGGCTCTACCTCATTGACAATATGTTATGGTAATAGTTATGGTTAGAGAAACGCATGGGTTGTACTGCTGCACGATGCCAGTCCTCAGAAGAACTTTCTGGATCTGAACCTACATAGAATGTGATGAAGTCTTGTTAAAATTGTTCTTTTTTGTACACCTTCAACGCCAGTGAAACAATAGATGAGCTCAGACGTCTTTTTTGCACAAAATCGGAAGAATGAATGTTTTACATCAACAGACAATCTCCGTCTATATATTAGAAGTGCTCTTTACATATGGAGTTCAACTCTGTCACCCATCCAGAACAAACTATCACCATATGAACATGGCTAGAAAGGAAGAGATGGAGTCCTCAGACCCATACTCATGTCAAAGAATACCGCCTCAACCGCTTTGTGGAAATTGGTTTCTTGGAAATATAAGTACATCATTCTGTCGAATAAGAATATTCACATTTGTTTCAAAAAATCTAGCTTGAATAGACATATGTCACTGCCATGTTAAATAAAGTAATTAACAATGACATGCAATTTAACATATACAATAGGATCGTTAATGGTAAGGTATTTTGTCCACTCTGGACGACAGTGAAGTAAGTGTGTTTATTTTAAACAAAGTCTATTCTGGCTATAAAACTACAGAGAAAAAAGTTAAAAAAACGGGGCCAAGTAAAATTTTATAAGTACTTGGAAAAATAAGAAAGATTTGAATTATAGCCTTTACTAATGGAGGTTGTACCTAAGTGGCATACACAATACATATGTTCTGTGTATAGTACAAAAAAGTCTTAGCAATTAAAGGTAGCATGTGTTGTTTGTTGTTTATTTCACAAGTGTGTAGTTCAAGATACATTTAAAATTTCAGTAGCCATATTGAAGTTACCAGAGAGAGATAACTGTAGATATACGAAATTACATACTTATTCACTATATTAAAAAACCAATAAAGATATCATAAAGAAAAATTTCACTTGTAATTGATGGCTAAATTATGTTCCCTGTGTTAAATATCAAGGCTGTGCATTTTTTTTATTTTTGCTATTGAAAATTTAACATTTTATTTACAAGCGTACTTTATCGCGAACCAGATAATACGGGTTCTAGGAAAATTTTTAATGTAAAATTTATAGTACTACCTATCTGTAGATCTTATAGACGCCCTTCCAAATGGATATACAGAATCAAACCTTTTCTGTTTGTTGACTTGAACAAACTCTCTTATTTGAAGAACTACTTTAAGGTATAAGTTACACTTTAAAACGCAGAAAGCTGGCGAAGCAGTGGAAATCTGCAGACCTAAACATGCTATTTATACACGCCTCCGATCTGAAATGCGACATTGACAACTTAAAAAAAATGTGAAAAGTAAAATTTCCAATTAAAAACATTTTTATGTCAGAATATAATTCTGTCTGAACTTTACAAATGCTTTATTTAGAGATATATTTTATTATATTTTGTTAGGTGCAACTATTTCTGGGGTTATAGCGTGCTATATCATGAACGGGGGATACAGTGCACTTTACTTTGATTTCACTCAATATGGCTGGCTCTACTACTTCTTATCCGCTCCCCTTCTTTTCATCTATATGGTAAGTGTTAAGCAATGTTATTTTAATATACCGTGTTTTGTGTAAAGAAGTCATTATTTTTGCAGTATTATCGCCAGCAGTTTTCTATAGAATTTCTCATCCAGTTCGTTGGCTGAGAAATTAATAACAGATGTTCAGTTTGTGTACTTTTAGTATATTTACAATAAAGTTTATTAGTCATTCAGAAAAATTTCTGTTCAGATATGTCGTGAAATTTGCCAAAACCATATCTCCAGTTATGTACTTTATAATATTAGGGTTTATAGTTTCCTTTCTTTTTTTTAAACTGCTCACATTCCAGGGGTAAGTTCGATACATGAAAAAAAAAAACCTTGACAAAAGTACTCGTGGATATTGCTACTATTTATAGGGACAAGTTTGTGGTACAATTTGGTTTGTGTACTGGTTTCGTATAAGGAGTGTAAATACAGAGCTGGGGAAATCATTCGGGGGAAATAATCTTCAAGTGACTGTAAAACGAACTTGTAGAGAAGCAACTATAGCCCGCCGTTTCTGCTGCCTCAAAAATTCAGTTCATTATGATAACATTACCAAGTTGCAAAACAGAAACGAGTAAAGAAATAAAAATGTTTTAATGGAAAATTTCTTTTTAAATTCAGTAAAACATTCAACAGTATACATGCAAACCCCGATCTTTTAGAACTGTGAATTTATAACATCTGTCTATTAATTGTTCACTATGTTGTGATTTATTGAGTGACACCGTTAGTGTGTAAGAGTGAAACTTACTTTTGAATTTTCATTCAATTTGAAACTAAATGTTCACACCAGGGACCTCTACATACCTATATGTGCACGTAGTATTCTCAAAATAAAGGGTATAAATCTTAACATTACGTGTCAAACGCAGTTACTGAATTGCAATTCAAACCAAAGAGAACAAATTATGTGAATGAAAAAGAAATACAGTGGATATATAACAAATCTAAACCCAGTGTTTGCATTTCGACAGTTGAAGTATTTGATATCATAAATACTAGCTGCATTCAGTTTAATGTTTTATATCAGTCTTGGAAAAGACCGTGTTCCGTAAAATGTCAAATTGCGTTGAAAAGTCTTAGAATAGATCTTTTTCGCTATGATGATATTAATAAATTTCTTAAAATGAAAGTTGTCAAAAACGAGAAAATATATATATATATATTTAATTTATATCACTATTCATTATCTTTTATCACAATTTTGTAATTTTTTTTCTATATTCTAGGATATGGCAGCCTACTATTTCCATCGTATGTATCACCTTCCATATCTGTACAAGCACTTCCACAAATGGCATCACAGATACAAACAGCCTACCGCCTTCTCGGCTTCAGCTATTCACCCGTTTGAGTTTGTCAACTATCAAGTTTTATTGGCTCTTCCCATGTTCTTTGTTCCTATTCACTGGTGTAAGTACATTGTTTAACGCGATATCTCAGAGTACGCGACAATGATTTTCCTTTCAGCACAATATCTTTATCATAAAAAAAAAACTACATATCAGTCACCGTTATTATTCTACTGCTATCTCCTATCTGATGAGAAAGATAACGAATCCATTTGCGAATATCAGGCTTTTGACTAAATGTCTTAAAATGATTTTCTTTAGAATATTTTAATTTTACACTTTTGTTAATATAAACTACTGGTTGAATCTGCCAAACTAAGGAATCTCTTTGTCCCTGACCAACTTTGACCCTCCTCTGACCCTGGATTTTTGACATCTATACAAAAGTTAATATCATACAAAGCGAGACCCATTCATTGTGTGATAAGATTGCAACTCAATCAGAATAAAACATTAAGATAAACCAACACCAGCAGAACATTAACTAGAGAATAATAATATTGGATAGAACATTTCTTTTCAAAGAATATCCACTAAGTATAATTTTAACTACAGGGTTTGTGCTAAGAACTGTTAAGAGGAAAACAAGGTTATATGAATAGAAATTTTCAAATCAATAAATGACTTTTCATGTGTTACTTCCATAAAACCCGTGAATAGTAAAACTCTGAAACATAGACTAAACATGCCAACAATAAACTTCTTTTAGCTTTGCCCTTTTGTTGGATTCTGCAAATAAACATGCTCTTTCAGAATGTTAACTTGTGTCTGACTGACGATAAGTTATAAGTGTATCTGTATCTTTTCAGCTGTATACATCAGCGTCCTCTCCTACATCTTCTACTATGGTATTCTGGACCATTCAGGAATCAAGTTGGAAGCCATATGGCCATGGCAACCCAACAGCATGTTTCACGACGACCACCATCAGTAAGTTTAACCGAAAGTTAAATTCATCAATTTAGACCACGCATAGAAGGTTTAGATACGCATTCTGTGACAATTTACAATTATCCACCTTCATTAAGGAAAGACATATTTTAGTAAATATATGAATGATCAAGTAAAACAAAAAAATCTAGGATACGATTTATTATATTACAATTCTTTAGTACAACATTTTCTGAAGCACGTCACAGTATGCACAGTTTATTTCTAGAGGAGTAATATATAGAATATACTGTTTCACTTTCTTAAAGAGCAGTTTATAATATGCACAGTCATAGTTTATTGAGGAAAAGTCTAGAGGATATGTGTTAGCATAAGAGCATTGTACGGTAAATACAGTGTCAGATTCGTCAGGAGCAGTCTACAGGGAACACATTGCTAATTTCTTCAGGATCAGTCTACAATGAACATATTGCTAGATTCTTCAGGAATATATACAGTACATACACACTACCAGATTCTTCAAGAGCAGTCTACAATGAACATATTGCTAGATTCATCAAGAACATATACAGTATACACACTGCCAGATTCTTCAGGAGCCAATCTACAATGAACATATTGTCAGATTCTTCAGGAACATGTACAATATACACACTGCCAGATTCATCAGGAGCAGACTACAATGAACATATTTCTAGATTCTTCAGGAACATATACAGTATACACACTGCCAGATTCTTCAGGAGCCAATCTACAATGAACATATTGCTAGATTCTTCAGGAATATATACAGTATACACACTGCCAGATTCTTCAGGAGCAATCTACAATGAACATATTGCCAGATTCTAAATGAGCAGACCACAGTATACACACTGCCAGATTTTAAATGAGCAAGCCACAGTATACACAATGTCAGGTTACTCAGGAGTAGTCTATAGTAAACACAGTGTTAGAATCTTGAAGAGTAGTTTACAATATACAAAATATCAGATTCTTCAGGAACATATACAGTATACACACTGGCAGATTCTTCAGGAGCCAATCTACAATGAACATATTGCCAGATTCTTTAGGAGTAGACTATAGTGAACATATTGACAGATTCTTCAGAAACAGTATACAATATACACACTGCCAGATTTTAAATGAGCAAGCCACAGTATGCACAACATCAGGTTATTCAGGAGCAATCTATAGTAAACACAATGTTAGAATCTTGAGGAGTAGTTTACAATGTAAACTGTTCAGTTACTTGAAAAGTGAACTATACAGAGCATATATTATCATCGGCGGCCCAGAATGTTCACAATTGCAGGTTCTTCAGAAGTACCCTATATTGTACATAATATTAAACCTTTCAAGATAATTTTACAATGTATAGAATAGCAAACATTTCAAGAACAATTTACAACATACACAGTCTTAATTTCTTCAGAATAGTCTGGAAAAAACTTTATTTATCTTGAGGAATTTAGCCCATTTTTGTTATTTTAATTTAAGTGAGACACTTTGAGCTTGAGTAATTGGACAGGACAATTGTATGGCTCATAGAAATATACATTTACTTAATATAACACTTATAAGCTGGTTACTCTTCATTGTGATGATGACCCACTTATGTCTTCAGTTATCAATGTCTCCAGAAAATGAAATTATCTCACCTTGTTACTTAGGTACCTAATACATGGGACAGAAGGCACATTTATCCTCTCCCCTACTTTTCCTGTTAGAATACATACACTCTTATTAACAACTATGTTAGACTGACTTAAGTTTTTTCCCCTCTCCCATTTAACATTAAAGTCAGACACTCCTGCTTTTTTACCATGATTAAATAGTACTTCAAATACATATAATGTTTGGTATATTCTAATTAGAACTAGATAACACAGAAATTAAATGAAAATGTTATATATATATATATATGTAAGGAAAAGACTGATTGGGTTAGTTCTAACTTATCATAAAGATTGATAAGTTTAAATCTTTGTTTTATATAGGAAACAGGTAAATTGTTAAAATTTCAATAAATTCATACGTTAATTATTTATGGTAAGGTTATATGGCGATCGGATATCACTTGCTATCATGGTTAGTAGCCTGTACGATCACCTAACTGTTATTATTAATTAATTGATTACTGTTTTTGTTACTCAATACTAACTACTTACTAATCATGAAAAAAATCATACAGTTTTTCACTTCGTGGTTTGTTAGAATTTTGACAGGTTATTTCATCAAGCGTTACACGTATTTAGTGAAATAAGTTCACGATCTAAGTGTTAGGTTATTTAATCTTTATCTTGAACGATGTATACACGCATGTGTATTTAAGTATTTTTAAATATACAAATAGTTCGTTTGAGTTTCAATAGTATACGCATTTTTTATATAAAAAAAACATTCTAATATCATAACTATCGTGTTAAAAATGAAATGTATTCTATTTTGAGATACTTATAAAACACCTAATTATTTATTTACGGAACGATTGTAGGTTTTTTCACTGTAATTTTGGATTCAACTTGACCTTGTGGGACAAGCTTCACGGTACTTATCGCATCAAGAGCAGAATATACAATGAAAATACCTTCTACGGCTACGGAAAGAGCACGAAAGATGCAAATAAAGAAGAACTAGAAGAGCACGAGAACGTGAGGGCTAACGAAAGAAGTCTATTGAAAGAGGATTAACAACCTCTAATGCCACTTGTCAAAACCTCCTTAGATATATATAGGGTGAGACATAACGAATCCTCCTTCCTCCACTAAAGGAAAGTAAAACTACAGCTAACAGAACAATCCTTTCCATGATGACCAGTCACTAATGTTCAGAGTTAACCACTGTTATTAATGCACGTGTGGCATGAAAAATGTCACATCAAATACAAAAGCAGTATTATCCTAAGTATCTTTATTGGAGGGTTCGCTAAAGCCCACTCTGTATGCATTATTATTTACTTCAAAGATTTTGTAATTATAAATAATATACCAGATCATTTCTGTCAAAATTAACTCTTAATTCAGAAGTGAAAAACTGATGTTAAAGAAAAAAAACTAATTTAACGTGAGCGTATCTTTCAAGCGTTATCAAAGAGTTGCATTCTATTACAAAATAAAAACTACTTTGATTAATAAGGGCAAAAGGCCAAGTGCTCTATCGATTTTTGCTTTGTTAAATTTTGGTATGAAAAAAAAATCAGCTTGTATGCTTTATCGTCTTTTTGTTGTTGTTATCAGATGGTATAACCTAAGTATCAGCAAACTTATCACTATTAAACTGATAGAATCCTCTCGAATCTTGGATTTTTTCTCAAATAAAAGGTTAATTCTTTATTCATATATATTATTCTATACATATTTATATATACTGATTTACCAACTACCATCTTTTGGTAATTACATAAAAAAAGTACTTGTGTTGAATAGCACTAATTTATTACACTTACGTGTACGTGAATTTATCTCTATATAAATATGCTGTTAAAATATCGCTGAAAAGTGTCCCTGCATTCAGAGATAGATGTAAATTAGACGATTTATCATTCCTTATATAAAAGGTTTAACCTTTATTTAGATAATTCACTTTAATAACAATTATGTTTAAATTATTACATTTGAAAACAGATATAAATGTGACAAACTGTAATGTAGTTTAATAAAAAACAATTTCATAATTTATTTATAGACTTTGTTTTTTATTTATATTTCAATTTTGATTGAATTATAAGACTCTTAATGTGGAATTGGATTTTTTTTTTCTTAAACGACATCTTATTAGTATGAGGTCCATGCGACTAGATCAGAGACCTATCGAGCTCAGGCATAGCCGCCCATAGTTTTAAGCTATTGTTCAAAGAGAAGGCAGCCAGCCACTAGCACCCGCCGCCATAAGGTTCTGTCCGGCTCATCGGACCGAATAACGAGGCTGTCTGAAAGTGTGTAACGTATTCAGGTTTGACTGTTTTAGAGCAAAGCCAAATTGGGCTATCTGCTGTAACGTATTCAGAAACAACACGTCCTGAATTCCAGACCCTTCGATCCACAGTACAACACGTCAGCTACTAAGCAATGCTTTCTCGGCCTGGATTATTATTTCAATTTTCTTTCAGAAAAACAAATTACCAATATCATAAGACAATGATTGTGGGGGTACTCGAAATAAAACGATAAATAGATGGTGGTGGACATATTTGAAATAAAGCGATAAAGAAATGGTTGGGGAGGGGGTACTTGAAATAAATCTTTTAACACGTTGCATGCTTTTAATCATCATATAATTTGCTTAATAGGCACTTTTGATACAGTTCTTTTTCATGGATCACTGTAGCTCACATTTTAATAATATTTATTTTTAATACACAATTTAGAAAATATATTATCACTGCTAATATTTTCAACTCAAAGTTCGGAAATGAAAGTCGTAGAAGTAAAATATACAGCTTCGTATTGATATTTCCACATCTGCTTGTCTTATAACTTAAGTAAACTGTGATTCTTCTCAAGATAAAATTATTGATCAAGTTATGCACTCAATCATTATTCTTTTGGTCCGGGCGTGACACAGAAGTTAGCGTGTCGGACTGTGAATCCAAGGGTCTATGGTTTATACCCCATTGTTGCGAAAGAGCACTGTACATTTTGTAGTCCTTAGTGTTCGATTAGAGTAATCCAAAAGTTTGTGATGGGTGCTTCTAACTAATTGCCTTCCCTCTAGTTTATAAGTTCAAAATTAAGGAGAGCTGGAGCAGATAGCCATTGTGTATATATTTGCGCGAATATTCTAAGCAAACAAACACTATTATTTGACCTACAATTTTACTTTAGTCGCTCAAGTGATGTTTTTCAGTTAATAAACAAATGCAGTTACATTGTAAATAAAATTTTAAAATACAAAGAAATGTTTCAAAGAAAAGAAAAATATCGTGCCTCGACGAAGTCTGTTGACCAAAGTCTCTTTCTCTAACAGCAACTTTAACCTTTTGTTCTGTATTGCCAGTTGGTGTTCCAAACAAATTAAAGCTAGTGTTCGAAACTGTCTGTGTTTGTATATGAACATTGTATATGTGTTATTAGTTTCAATTGTGTAGTTTAGTATGCATAGAATACAAAACAAATCTTGACAAAGCACAAAAGTAATTGTTTGTATTTTTTCATTCTTTTTTTTTTTTTTGGCTTAGATCACTTGTTATAGCCACATAGAATAACGCCAACTCATATACTTAATTCAACATGATAACACTCAGTATCCTTTTGTTTTTTATGGAAAGATGGTAACTTAATAAACAACAATTACCTCCTCTTTCTCTGCGTACTTCAGCAGTTTAAAGTGTACGACACATACTGTATTATCTTTACTTGTTTTCAAAACACTTTCAATCTAGATTTTAAACATACAACACTGGAAACAAACAGTGAATAAAATGTCCATAATATGCAAATTTTACAGGACTACTCACCTTCTGTATTCTACGAAAATGAACTGCAACATAGTACATATATGTGTTGCTAGTTTACGCTGTGTCTGGCTGCCATCCTACCAATCAGACATCGGCATACTAGCGTGACGCCTATAAAAGTACAGGTAGTCATATATTCCGAACAATAATGTGATGACTACACTCATAATTCCTAGCTCAGAAGTGTTACATGGCAAACAAGTAGAAATCAAAGGCTACTCTTTGGGAAAGACTGAGGCGAAATTCCATGCTTATTTAGGAGCTGCATGGAATTTTATGTAAAAAAACTACTATTGTTGATAATAAAAGCACTCGACGTGAAACCCCAAGCTCTTCAAAAAGTGATGTTAAATAAGTTAGGGTATGCTATTTACGTAACACACGATAATCCATGAGTGATCTTACCAATGACCTAACTGTAAGTACAAATGTGAATGTTACCTGCAGATCAGTAAGACACACATTAGCAGGAAGTGGTTTTGTTTGATATGTATCAGCTCAAAAACACTTCTCTGGAGAAATATCCAAACGAAAAAGCTAAAGTGATTTGGTTTGTTATGAATTTCGCGCAAAGCTACACGAGAGCTATCTGCGCTAGCCATCCCTAATTTAGCAGTGTAAGACTAGAGGGAAGACAGCTACTCATCACCACCCACCACCAACTCTCGGGTTACTCTTTTACCAACGAATAGTGGGATTGACCATAACATTAGAACGCCCCCACGGCTGAAAGAGCGAGCATGTTTGGTGGGACGGGGATTCGAACCCGCGACCCACAAGCTAAAATGGACATCAGGCTTTAAGCAATGGGATTAGTAAAGCTTGAAGAAGATAGTGCTTACAGATGAAAACAAACTGATATTATTTGGTAACAATCAACAATAGCTTGCTCAATGACAGACAAGGGAACAGTAAACGTACAACATCTACAGTGAAGCACGCTAGGGAATCCACAGAAGTGTATACTGCATATCTGTCATTGATGCTGGAGATCTACATAAAATTGATGGCATCCTGTACGTTCCATAATTAGTTTCAATACTCTATATATTGAAGGGAAGAGAGTTTGAGTTTTGGTAAGTGCTAAGATTTTGTATAGCGTGTAATCTTAACTATAGAAAATAACCTACTGTTGTTTACTTAGTCGACATGTCTCTTCTGGAAAAATTACAGGTTTCGTCAACCTATAGTAAAGAACAAAAAATGTGTATGCTATTTAGTCATATGAACTTTCCAAAACAATCGTAAACAAATATAATATATTTGAGAGTCATCGTGCACACTTGCATGTTTTACCCTCCAATGTGATTTCTAACAGATACAAACAGATTCCTTGTTATCCTTTTCTTGTGTTAATTGTCAAACTGATTAATAATTAAGAAAAACTAACAACACAATGGCCATAACGTTTGTGTTTTAAATCTAAATTTTATGCTGAACTCAAATTACTTTAAAAAATTCATTCTGATATATTTAAAAGCTTTAAAATTATTAGGGTTTTGAACCCATACACTGTAATAGTTCCAGTGATAATCAAAACACCAGGTCTAATACCAAAGTTACTTTAAAGCAAAATTCACTTGAAGTTATTACAGGATTACATTTTATTTTGCTTTGAAGTACGAAAAAAATCGCAGAATCCCAAAAGATCACATACAACCTTAATACTAGTAACATTCAATTCAAAATCTTTGCAGAGAAACACAAATGTTTTATGAGTGTTATGCGAAGAAAGGCTTACAACCAGTTGAATGAACTTGTTCCACAACCTTAATAATAATAATAATAACATTGCGTTACGAAATGCATACGGTAATATTTCATCTCGTTTTCTGAAAACATAGCTGCAAAATAAAAGTAAAATATACGTGCCACAGAAGCTATTTTAGAAACTAAATTTTCAAAATATTCTATACTATTTTTGAAATTATTTCCATTGAAACCCATCCCCGAAAAAATATATGGAAAAAACCATTAACACTATAACAGCTGTTCATAGTAGATGGTCAAGAAATTTCTCTGAAATTCTACATTTTTAGAATATATATTGTTTTCAATTCATTTATTTTTTGAATTTTTTTTCAGAAAAATACATGAATTATTGCTTTGTTTAAAGTATAAATCAAAACAACTTATACAGCAGGAAAAACGTTTGTTTAAATACATTTGGAAACCATATAAGTATTATATATATAATTTTCTAATGACTTTTCGATTGGAACTACCATTCGCCCAACAACTAAAATCCCTGGTGGTAAATATGCAATAAAATTAAACGTTGAATGAATACAGTTCACGATGGTTTAGGTTGCTTTTGAGTCTCTAATATTTGCTCCCATTAATCTCAAAGGACAATTAAAATCACTCAGTGATATATTATGATAGTATAAAAATGGGCAACTGCTTTTATTTGACACAGATTTATAATTTTTGTGAATGACTCTAGTTCGCACTGTATAGAAACTGCGAATTATTTATTTCAATATAGACACTCTCAGTGAAGAAAAGCAACCTATGTGAAGTATGATATATGGGATATACGGAATGTTACACAATGTTTTTATAGCAATAGTTTAATCAATGTGTCACATGATGAACAAGGCATATAAAAGGTTAAAAGTTTGCTTTCACACAAGGCTACACAATGGGCTGTCTGTGTTGTGTCCATCACAGGGATCGAACTCCAATTTTAACATTGTAAACCCTGAAGCTTACCACCGAGTCGTCAAGGGATAACAGACTAAAGTATTAAGCCAGAATGTAATATTTTTCTAATAATTAACTGTACAACTTCTCTGCAGAGTAGCAATGGCACGCGAAGAAAAGTGCGGGAATTAACAAACAACAAAATCAGAACTAAATAGTCACATTAAAAGAGATGAACTTTTAGTTTGAAATGGAATATTTATGGTCATTGCAATAAATATAATCTATTATTACTCGGCCTATCTATAATATCAAACTTATTTTAATGTACCGTAGAATAGTTTAACAATATTTGTTGTAACAAAAAAAATAAAAAAAATAGAAAAAACAATTTGATAAAATGGAATAAGTTTCTAAATTTGAACAAGAAATCCCTAATATCCTAGTTTGTGCTTGCAAACACCTAAATGATGACTCGGCTAATTTTGTCATATGCAAATGGCAATATCTTTTACATGCGTGATAGAAATTACTAAACTGTCTAATTTGTTTAAATATTTGCATATATATACATAG